CAAGAACAACATTGTTGTTGTTAACATTTGGAACATACCTCATTATCCAGTGATATCTCCCTAATTCTGGGATAGAATATGAATCATCTGATGTTCTAAAATTCCAGCCAGTAACATCTGATAGACTGTGAAATTGAAAATAATAATAATATTAATGCCACGTCAAAACTGCTTTGATTCAGCTGATTGCATGTGTGAATGAGTCAAGAAGGAATTAAGATGTGTGATTACATGTAACATCCAGGAACAATGAACCATGACAGAGATTTTTAAGTGAAGAAATTAGTTAGTGAAGGAAATAACCAAGCTTTAGTGTTGCTTCTAGAATCTGGATGATCATCTCCAATCAAGTCACTGTTTTAAAGTTGTCACCAAACCCATTAATTGGTTAGAGGTGACAATAAATCCATCTATCAAGACAAAAATTAGTTAATGGCTTCAGTTAACCCACCCATGAGGGCATTAATCAGATAATAGCTTTCATTCTTTCATCATCCCTTCAACATACATTTCAGAAACTTGCAAAACAGGGATGCCAGTCTTTGATCTTCTCCATACTTTAAGAGAATTGATGCAAATAGACTAATGAGACTATAAAGTAAAGGATTATAAAAATTAAAATATCTTGTAAAAATACAGATGAAATGGTTAAATTGAACATAACCATTGAAATTTGCATTTTGCATTGCTTCCTCAATTTTTCATTTTAATCTAGTCTTAAGATGTTATTTCATTCATTTTCTGATAAGAACTTCACAAAATTCACACATTTCTTTATGAATACCATGGAGAGAATTTGAGATTAATAATAATTGTAGAATGGTGGAATGAGTGAAAGAAAGTGGGACAGAGCCATCCATCTGGGCTAAGGACTTGGAGTGTTCAACCCTTAAGGTGGCTTTGGATCCCTTAGCATTCTATCACATCATTGTTGTTATGCGCTTTTAAGTTGTCTCCAACTTATGGTGACCTTATCATAGCATTTTCTCAGCAAGATTTATTCAGAGGAAGTTTGCCATTACCTTCTTCTAAGTTTGTGAATTGCCCATGGTCAAGCATTGGCTGGGTGACCATGGCTGGGCAGAGATTCAAACCTTGTTTTCCTGAGTCCTAGGGATTGTCTACATCAGGAAAAAAAAAATCAGAACTCACCCAAAGCTGGTTCTGGCAGTCCTCACAACATATGGCTGCTTATGGGGGAGATACTGCATTTTTTTTTTGACCCTTAAATAAAGTCAGGGGAAGACCTGGTGTTTTCCAGACACCCTGGAGTAACCTTGTGTTGTTTTGGCCTGTGGACAGCTGGACTGGATCCAATTTGGCCTGATCTGTTGTCCACATGCCAAGATCCACAATTTCCCCATTCTCTGCACAGGGAAAGGGGATCACTTGATATTTCAGAGTTTCTACCACCACTTCCTTGCAGGCAGGAGCTCCGTGTAATTGCCGCTTCTACTGAGATAGAAATGGGTGCCCAGATATGTGACCAAGAAGGGGTCTGGGCATCTACCCAAGAGGAGAACTGGGCAGGCTTTATACAAAGTTCTTGCTTGTGAGGCAGCAGCAGCAGCAGTGATTCCAAAAACAGGCTGCCACTGCTGCTTCCTCACAACAGAAGCTCCATGTTAAACCTGCCTGGTGCACCATTGCCTTTGCTGAGATCAGAATAGGGTGTCTGTGCACCCAATGAGGGGTAGAGTGATCCTTTCCTTGTTGATCACATGTCTGGGGACCCTGTTCTTACCTCATCAGAAGTCTTGGAGATGCCTCATTCACAGGATTGCCAGTGGTCGAAGTCAATTTGAGGGCAGTTAACAAGTGCCCAATCATTTGCCTCTTTAAAACATTATGATTACCAGGAATGCTAGTACCTAGTCAGGTGTGAGGAGGTAAACACATGATTCTATCCCACAAACTTTTATATCTACCTCCTTTTTTGATCTGATTTTTACAGAGTTCCTGTTAACAGTTTTCACTAAAACCTGCCAACAACTTTCAGGCTTGTGTGAAATTATCTTAGGACGTTATCACATGGGGAGTTGCAGGGAGAAAGTGGAAATAAATCAGACGAGCGGAAGACTTTAATTTATGGGATTTATCCCGTTCTGCCTCATCTGATAACTAAATTCGAATTTAAAAGGGGGTTAATTTGAACAAAAACCTGATCTTTTCAAATCCTCAAAAATCCCGAAAATGAACAGATCAGGTTTGCGTTTGAATTAACCCCCTTTTAAATTTGAATTTAGGTATCAGACGAAGCGGAACGGGACAAATCCCGTAAATTAAAGACTTCCGCAAGTGCCCATTTATTTCCACTTTCTCCCCGCGACTCCCTGTGTGATAACATCCTTAGGCATGGATTTGGTTTAGAAACATGTCTGTATTGTGAAGGCTGGCCACATTGCTTGAAGATAATCTATATAGCTTACATCCAATCTATTTGATGGGCTATACCTTTGCATATGGGCCTGCCCAGGTCCTGAGATCCTCAGGGCAGTCCCTCTAGTCTCAACACCATTACAGACATGTTTGGTGTAAACATAAGACAGGCTGCTGCTAAACAATGGAACAAACTAAAATGGCTGCCTCCCTTCTTACTGAGCTCCCGCCAGCAGGTAGAGTTCTTTTTAAATTCTAACATGATTTTGATAATAGAATGTTTTAAAGAAAGTGCTTTTCATTGATAATTGTACCACTTTGAAATATATTCTTTTTAAATTGCCATTTTCTTATTTTTAATTATAGGTTTTAAATTGTTTTTACTATTATTGATAGTTTAATTAAATTTACTGTTAACTTTTTGTATGCTTTAATTGTATTATATCTGTTTTCATTGGTAGGTTCCAATGCCTTGTCTTGGTTGTGAAAAAGTTGAGGTACAAAGTTCATCATCATCCTTTGAAAAAAGTAAAATAGACACTGGGATTATCTGACACACTCAGAAACCACTTCTGAGCCAATGTAGCATTTTCTAAACATAGACTAGGAGTAGAAAGGATAGAATCCACATATGGCCAAATCTTCTGTATGATCTTTCAAAGTCTTTAGTGTTTCATGCCAAACAAGGAACGTTTTTGCAAAGCTGTCAAGGAAGAGGGCTATTTTCAATTAATCTTCATAGCTGTTCCTTGTGGATTCATCTTTCATCTCCAGCTTCCAAGAAGATCTTGAGCATTGCTGAGTAGGAAATATCTCAGCAGGAGGGCACAATCTCTCTCTCTCTTTCTCTCAAAACCTATGCTATATCATAAACAATGAAAGAATGTTTACTTCTTTGTACATCTACATTTTCTTTCCACCCTCAGAATTCTGAAATGGTCCTCTGTTTTCTTTCTTTCTTTCTTTCTTTTACTGCTGCAGGTATTTTCTTTCTGCTCCTTCACCCTGTCTGACATCCACTCTTTCTTTTGCATTGACTGCTTTGCTCTTCTGGCCCCTGTGGTGATCTGTGCTTTGACACTTGTGTTCAAGAGGCTTCACTGTGAAGCTCTGCCAATGTGAGCAATTGATCCAGGGCCATAAACTAGCTGAATCATTCAAGGTCACTACTTTTGTCTTCTCTTGTGGGGGATAACTGCTTTAGGGACTGAAAACTTCTTAAAGTTTCCAGACTTCCAATTATGAATTTTAATGAAGTCACAGATCTTATTATCTTTGATGTGTATTCTCATAGTAAAAATACTAGTATTTGTTTAATACAGCAGATAATTTCAAAGGATGCCTAGAGTATCACCCTCCAGAAGAGGGATGGGGAAACTTGTGACCTACAGTTTTGGTCTACAGTTCCTAGCAGCATCGACAATCACAGCCAATGGAAAGGATTATGGGAGTTTTCCAAAATATCTGGAGAAACAAAGGTCTTCTTTAGAACTGATACATCAGCATAAACTAGTGGATTGTGGCTTGGGTCTAATCTGCACTGCAGAAATAACACAGTTTGACACTGCTTTAGCTGCCATGTCTTAGAGAGATGGAATCCTGTGATTTGCAGTTTGTAAGATGTTTAACCTTCTCTCTCAGAGAGCTCTGGTGCCACAACAAACTAAACACCTCAGAATTCCACAGCATTGAGACGTGATAGTTAAAATGGTGTCAGACTGCATTATTTCTGCAGTGCAGATTGGACCTCAGACCAGCAAGATTGGGCTTCAGATCTTCCACTTGGCCATGACTTCACTGACCAGTCTTAGTCTAGACCAGGGGTAGGCAACCTAAGGCATGGGGGCCAGATGTGCCCCCCCGAGACCTTTGGACCGGCCCCAGGCCAGTCCTGCTGCCTCCGCTGCCCCTACTGCCACCACCGCCCACCATAATGATATTGATTATTGTTGTTTTTACTTGTTCTTGGGGT